AATATTTTGTTTGCAGTGTTAACTAATGCAATTCCATATAACATTCGCTTCTCGTACTAAATCTGTGATTCTTGTGATCGTTAGGTAAGACTTACATCAACAGTATGTAAGTAGCATCTCCATGTATTTTTAGAATGTATGTAGCATACAAGAAGTGAGAAAATTTAAGGCTGGTATGATTATTTGGGATGGAATTAGCCTTGCTTGCATAATCCTGACGATACAATTAATTCCAACTTAACTAGTGTTGATACTGTATTCTGTATATATTAGGATGTGATTGGGGAAATGAATATAGGATTGTGAAAGCATTCCCAAACTTTTTTTCTAAAAAGAATACTCACAATGAGATAACTTGTAAACAAGATTTCCATAAGTGTGAAGAGTTTCCATAGCTTTTCTACTGAGGAATGTTTTTGTGTGTCACTTGTCCTAATATCCCAGCATTGAATATACTATATTGCATACATGACATTTTTATTTCCTTGATGGTATCATCTCATATGTAATGCTTTGTTAGATTAATTAAAAGAGAAAAATTATTGGTCTCCAGTCAGAATAATTGGCTAGTTTGATATACTATTAAAACAAAAAATAATTGATAGTTTTAACATATACTGGAGAGAGGGTGCTCATACATTTGGTTATATCTGTTAACAACTAATGATGTATAAGATATAAAGATTAACACATAACAGTGACTCTAGGGCTTTTACTTTGGCCTTCATAGAGATCCCACTTGCAAGGCAAAATTATGAGTTCTTGATTGTTTTTGCAAGAATTTATGTAGCTGGCTTCTCAATATTGCACCAGTTGATTTTGTTGTGTTAATGTATGTTGATATTAAAGTTTTGAGTTTTCATGACATGGGAATACTTTGTATGTAAGAAGGTAATATTTCCATTGAATAAATGATTATTTTCTCTTTATGTACATTTGACATGAACCTTTAATCCTCAGAGGTCACAAGTCCAGCTACTTAACAGATTTTATCATTGTATAGATCAATGACTTATTTTTAATTAATTTTGTACCATATACCTAATTTAATTTTGTATCTTGATGAAATATGATGTTTATAATGCCGGATCTATAAACAATAGTTTTGCCATGGACGTGAAGAAATGCGATCTCTGTGGATGCCAAGGTAGTTACGTTATCCCATGCTATCTCCACTTGCTTTGGTTTAGTGTGATGATGTGTACATATTGTTTTATATTTATTCCCAACATCTCAAAATGGGGTGGGCTTATAGAAAACTCCCATGTCTGCTTGTTATTAATGATAACAATAAATCCAGTCTTTTTTCAAAACATTATTTCATTTATTACTCCTTTTTTTACAATTTTGAAGATGGACAGTTATTGAAGTTATGGTTATAATATTCTTTATGGATGTACTTCATAACTATTATTATATTCTAAAAATGTTTTAGAAATCTGACAGTTTTTACTTGGTCATACTATTCAGCTGCTACAAGATAAAGGTTTGATAGCTGATCAAGTAGGACCAATCGAGTAGATGTTTATTTCAAATTGCTGTAACTTAGCTTACATCCCATACATGCTCATATTGTGATACTTTGGCAAACATATTTGGTCTGATAGACCAAACTGAGAAAATGGAAGTATTAAAAGGAAAATTACTGAAACTGTCTCTCGGCTTTGTAGGTGATGACTTTAAAATGTCAAACCCGCTTTGTACAGTGACATGGGGTCTCATTACTGAAAGTGTCTCAATTATTCTGAAAACCAGGTAATATTATCCAGATTTTCCCCCATCCTTTACTCCTCATTGCTGTGGGGGGCTTAGGAGGCAGAGACTGAGGGCCAACGTAGGGAGCACCCCTGCCTTGGACCTTACCCCTCGCCTCAACTTATTTTTCAAGGTCTTTTCTTTGCCCTCTTTCCTTTTCCTTAACTTCATCCCCTTCTGTCCAATTATCCAAATCATTAACTCATAATTACCCTTTTGCCACAATACTTTACCATAATGATGTGTTACCATAATGACCTGAGATACAACAGAAAATTTTCAATAAAAAGATAAATAATCAAAGTTTATTTAAGTCGACTCATTCAGCAATGTGTGTGAAATCACTGATGATGTAACTCGGCTGATGCCTTATCCATTCTCCATTTTTTCCTCTCTCTCTCCTCCATTGCCTTACCCATTGTTGTTGTGGGAGGGATTAAGAGGCTGGGACCTAATGCTGGGAATCTCCCTTGCCTTGGGCTTCATCCCTTGACTTCACTAATTTTGCTCAGTCTTTTTCCTCCCGCTTTTTCGTTTACATTCCTTCTCCAACCCCTTCTACAAATCACTTCCTAAGGTGTGAGAGCCATGTTGAAAGGATGAAAGGCTTACTTTGTGCCAGTTTTGAATGGCCTGGAGGAGCCATTAGTACAGTATTTCCCTGTTTAATTGTCTAGCCTTCAGGGGCCCTGTGCGGTGGACTGTATCTCTCCCTAATATACTCAAGGCTAACCATGGCCAATAA